GGGCTTTTTAGGCCACAGCTGAAGCGCAGTCAGGACTCACCTGAGTCTGGCTTTTGAAAAATTTATTTATTTTTTAATTTATTCCTCAGTTACCTACTCAATGTTTCTCTTACAGAGCTCCTGAAAGGGAGACAAGCAAGATGGGAAAAATAGCAGGAAAAAAGGCTTTTTTTTAAATAACGTGCCACCAGAACTTCTGCATGGTAACAAAGGTATAAATTATGTTGCCATTTATTTAATTTGGATATTAATCTTGTTCGTGCTCTCTGTGTGTTTGGATTCAGGGCTCCTTTTGGAAGCGGTTTGTTACTCTGCAGCACTTGCAGGCCAGAATTTCAGATGCGGGTTCGAAATCGCTGTTTTTTATGTCTGCCGTAGCCGTGTGTTTCCCCTCAGAAGTATCTGCCAAAGCAAGTTGAGCACAAGCAGATATTGCTTTCATTTACTGTGAATTTTCTCAATTAAGATGCAGAGCCGTTATTTAAGATTTCAAAAAGGAAACGTGAAAAGGAGATGCGGATCTGCAGTGAAAACTAGAATTACTGTACCACTCTTCTCATAGTGTTTCCTTTTTTAAAGCTTGTGCGTGCGAGAAAAAACAAGTTTCGTTCCAAGTTAGCCTTCTGGAGTTCAGTAACTCCACGTTCACATTGACATCTGGGGACAGCCGCATGTGTATCATCTTAACAAACTTTGTACGAGTATGCTCTGGGACTTCTGAGACCTCGGGGCGATTTCTGGAAGCAGTGACTTGGGTAACTTCCAAAGAGAAAGCGCTGCTCCGTGGGATGGAAGTAGGAGAACTGGCTAAACTAGCAGGGAAGCAAGACATTCCGAGCAGTGATTTTCCCTGAAGTAACCCCCTGAGTTTTCGGTTACTGTAAACATAGCTTTTCTTAAAATAGTTGTCAAGTCATACAGAGGTTTTGACCACGTGACAGAAAGTTGAGGGCAATCTAGGGTAAGATCAGGAGCGATTCTTAGTGTTGCTCTCCCAAACCAACAGCACCTCATAATAAACTTTTAACTTCAGGGAGCGCTCAAAAGGCAACACTGAGACATCTGCTGTCCAGGAATAAATATGCCTTTTTTTTCTCCCAAACTGGCTCTTCAGCTATGCCAACAGAAGCTTAAAAGCAGAAGTTCAAGACACAAAATGATGATTAGACAACAAATTCTGTGCGTGCAAGTAGCTGAGGAGTGGATTGGTTGAAGGTTTCAGCTGATGCAATACTGGTGCACATCCGTGTTTGTTTGCTAACAGTTCTGCAAATGTGCTTGGTTTGGTAACTGGTCGTGGGGAGCAATTTTCAATCTTAGACTATTCCTTTGAATAATTTTTAATACTGTTGCTGCTTTCTATGATACGTACTTAACCTGACAGGTCTTATGATTGAAACTGGTATTCCTTTCGGTCTTTCTTCTTGTGAATTCTACTGTGTGAACTTCACAGACGCTGACCTAGAACAAAGGTGGAAAGCTCAGCTTTCTGATATTTTAGTGTTGGCTGGAAAATATCCCAATCAGGCTTTTTTTTGCTTTGATAAGCCTATATTTTTAAATCACTGTTTGTAGTGCCAGTCAGATGATTTTCTTGTTGGTGTTTGAAAGCAAGATTTGCATGCAAGTACACTGAATTTTTAAGCAGCTAATTCATTAGCTTTGGTATTTGAAGTAACTTGTCCTTGAGCAATGCAATGTTACATCATGCTACTTGATAACTAGAACTTCCGACTGCAAGTTGGCATTTTTTCCAGTCTTTCACTCGGCAGCAATTTTGTCACCTGAGTCAGGGAGGTATAAGAACTGTCTGCATTCGATGCTAATAGGATGTTTTAAAATGCTTAATGTTTAGTCTCATCTCCGTTCTGTTACGTTTTTGGAAGAAATGCACAAAATCAGGTGCACAAAGAATGTGCATTTAAATATGAGGTGCTCAACATCTTGAATGTTTTTGCTGGGTTTGAGTACCCCACTGATCCCAGGGACATCTTCAGTGAGCTGAAGGAATTGGAGAGTGAGAGCAGTGAAAAAGTTGGTCACCCCAGATCTGCCACTTTGAAAGATACAGGACTTTGATACGTTTCCTGTTGCGAAAATCTATAGGTTGTGCATTGTATTGATTCTTTTATGGGTTTTAGTATTTTGTGGAATAGGCTGCTGTAGAACTCGAGGTTAAAGAATAGAAAGATAGAGGTAACGAGTTATCTCTGTCCTCAAATTCTTAATAATTACCATGCAGAGGAGTGTATGATGATGTAATTATTTACTTTGTATTCTTAAAGATTCTTAATAGCAAGTTACATGAGAGCAGTAAGCAATTAGAATATGTCAGATGTGGCTTACCGTTGCTTTCAGTTACACTTCTCAAAAGTTTGTTGATTCGATGCACAAAAAGAATGTCTTAATTTTCAGGATCAATAAGTTACAAGAATAGATGAAGCTTACTTAAACTTGATTTCTTTTTTTTTTTTTTTATTAAGTGCTATTGCAATTGGAAATTCATTTGCTCGTCTAGACAGATCCTTTAGGTTATTTTGCTATATTTTATTATGCACATAATTTAATGAGACAGATTTTTAGTAAGTTACAGCATCCTCCATTCAGAAAACGCAGGAGGCTGGATAGCGTTGTCTTCCTGAGATTGTTCATAGATCTGCTGGGAGTGTGCACAAAAGGTGAATTGTGCCTGCAGCTGCAGAAATACATCTGGCCCTTTTAATCTTGGCCCTCTTGGTTCTTCTAGTCCAAAACTTAAACTGTGTGTTGCGCTGTTGGACACGTACGTGGTGTTGGAGTGAATGGAAACCCCAATCTGTGACGTTTCTGTTTGGGCTCAGTTCAGCTGCTGCTCTGCTCAGAGCTGGCCATGGGGTCAGGGCTGCGGCTGTTGGGTGCTGTCAGCCTCTGGGCTACTGCAGAGGAGTTTGCACGTTTGGGATAGCTGGTCATGAAGACACATTTCTTGGAATGTAACTTTGATTTATAGGTGTTATTTTCACTCTTCTGAGTAAATTTTTGTTAGGGCTCCTAAAAGAATCTGTTAATGTCATTGTGTCACTGGATTTTGATTCTAGTGATAGTGGAAAGGGTGATGTGGAAAGTTCGGAGGGGGTGTTTGAATCCTGAGGTGTCTGTGGGTCACGTCACTCCCTTCAGACCTGACCAGCTCCAGCCACTGAGGCAGCAGAGGCCAGTTCAGATTCTGGTCCCTACGTGTATTGGTGTGATCAAGAGAGAACGAGAATCCCTTTCGTAGCTCTGGGCTCTAAAACTTGTGCGGGTTAAGGCTACGGAGCAGTTGCTCTCCAGCCTGTTCATTATGGTCTGGTTAGCACCGTGCTCACTGGGCTAAGTGGTTTTGCATGTCCGTGAAGCTGTTGAATGGTTGTTTAGTAGTAAAACAGAAATGGTACCCATCTTTAGACGTGCAGATAGCTTTTTCTACGTGATCTTATTTTATCTTAAGCATTTTTTCTAAGCACTGTGCAGTGTTTGATTATCCAAGTGGGTTAACGTTACCAAGCAGATAGCTAGGTACTTTCTTTATTAAAACTGAACTCTTAGAGACATGTGTCCTGTCTTGACAACTCAAAGCTTTTTTTTTTGTCTATGTTTTCTCCTGTTTTGATTGGGTTTCAATCTCTTGACAACAGCAAACATACCTAGTGGATTCCAGTATAAGGGTATTAATATCTACTATAAATGCAGCTTTGAAGGAAATTCATCCATAGCAGAAGTTCCGACTTTCTAAAGCTTTTGCAAAATTGTCTTATCTTGAACCTCTTTAATAAATAGTCCTCTAGCTATGTGCGTGAGCTCGTGCTGCAGAACTTGAGTGTGTGAGGATTTGTTGGTAGGCGTAAAACTACAGTTTCTTACGCTGTAGGACTTTGCACTAGGTTAGTCAGCTGTTGTCCTCCTGCTTTATTTACAATATGATTGCTATTGTAATTGTTTGTCTCCATGAAAATGACCTTGTACAGAATAAATGTAAAACTGCACCTGCCCAGAGAGAATGAGCCCACAGAGACAAAGGTTTAAAAGTGCCTTTGATTAGGAAGATCTATAAGCTTAAACCTATAACTACTGCTCTAGGGGTTTTCTCTAGTGGTGTTACATGCTGTAATTGCCCTCATGTTCAGAAACTTCACTGATCAATTTGTAGTAGTTACATGATGATGAGGAACATTCAAACATATTTGATTTTTACCTTCAAAGTAAGTTTTGGCTCAAAGAGAAGTGTTGCTAAATGATTAATTACATATCTACTGATTCTTGTGTCCAAAGCCACTGTGCTTGGAGTTATTAATTCCTTCACACATTGTTCCTTACAAATAAGGTAAAATAAATCCTTAGGAAACTACTAAGAAGTAACTAGTTTTACAATATAGTATTGAATGACCGTTTTTTCCAGCAGTGTGGCTAGAAATGAGCTGGTTTATCAGTCTTGATCAAACCTAGCATCATGCATCATGGGTAGAGAAGACACATAAAGCAGAGTTTTGTGATTTCTTTTAGAATTGTGCGATGAAATAGTTTCCAAGGAAAGTCTACAAAGTCCAAAGACCGCTGTACCAGATGCTCTCAGGTGGAAAAATGTCTCAGGTATTGAAGTAGTGTTAGAAAGAACAATATTTACAGAATTTTGTGGAAATTGCAGTGATGTGTTTTGCATTAGTCTGCTGGAATGAAGTTTCCCAGGCCTTTTTGTTTGTGTCTTTCGTAGAAGCATAGAATGCTTTGGGTTGGAAGGGTTTGATAGAAGTTCTCTGAGCCAGTATCCTTGGCTGTAGAACAAAATTTTTGGCTGAAGTGAAACTGGGAATGGCCATTGGTTCTGTAGGGAACTGAGCACTATACACTGAGGGTATTTTTAGTCCAGTTTCATCTTTACAAATTTGATGTTCAATAAATGATACTTCTGCAGCAGCGCTGTAGCTGTCTGTTGGGCACGGTACTTAGTGTGTGGGACAGTTATTGAGGTTTGTTCTGGTGTGGAAACAAATTCTGGAGCATATTCAGTTGCATACCAGACTTGTAGCATTTCCCTTGGCTCCAACTCTTGTGAAATATCACCAGAACAATCATGTGTGTTCCTGAGAGAACAGAACATGCTTCTCTCTGCCATAAATCTGTTTGGTTCACGTTCAAAGCTAAATTTTCAGGTGTTCAGTTTGCTGCCATTGTTATTTCAAGTACTTGAAAACCA